ATCAGTTTTATATCCTTCTATTTCCCGAACTTAACATGCTATAGTGTTATGACCTTCTTTCGCATATTAAGGAGTCAAATATCTTTCTTGGCAAGGCCAAAGATATATGGTAAAGTATTATAGCCGGCTTGCACCTGAGACCTAAGACCAGACACTACCACTGAGAAAATCAAAAGAAAATCTCGTTCGTTACTCTGGGGATCGAACTTTAGAGTCCGTGCGTTGATACATACGTTTTTATCTACTAGGCCGACTGATCCTGAAATATTTTCTCGATATTAGACAACAACTTTTCAATTTACATTTTCACACTATAATAAAAATTTTTTTTAATAATATTAATTAATAATAACTCTAGATATGCAACAAGAGTGGTATTTATGCTGCTCAAAAGAAGTCGACGAATGTTGCTGTATGGATAAGTTAAGAAAATCATATGTTAATGAACATTATATTAAACAGATGTTTTTAAATTTAGAATTTAACAAAGGTATTATAAACAAATTAACTGAACTTCTCAACAAATTTAATCTAAATTTTATCCTACTAATTATACTGTTTGGTAGAAAAAACTGTATCAATATTGGTCTGTGCAAGTCAGCTCTTTGAAAAAGTTATAAAATTACAATCAATTTTCAAATCGCAAAACATACCTAAAGAAATAACAGAATTGAGCGTAAACAACTGTTTAAAAATAACAAGACAACTTATAAAAGATTCTACTCGTGGTTGTATGGAAAATTGCTATTCATCGTCGGGAGTTCTTAAAAATTTAGAAAATTTATATTTTGAAGTTTTGTTAAAAATCGAAGACCTCATGATCTTGGTTGATCAAATTTTAATATGCCAAAAGGCACAGGATTAATATAAATCACGATTTTTCATTAGCGTTAAAAAAAACATAAGCTGCTTAAGTGGTTGATTTTCTTTGTAATCTTTTAAGTGTTATTCACATATTTTTTTTATACTATTATAATTAAAAAAATTTTCATTTTTACTGATATAATATTATTAATAACTATTTTTCTTATAAATTATGTTACGTAAAATATATGTATTTTTTGTATTATTTTATCAATAATTAGAAACACTTATTGTTATCAATTCAATAATTCTATAATTGACATAGCAAATCTGTTCAATTTTTTAATTTAAAAAGCTCTTTTTATTCATTTTAATTTAAAAAGTATAATTTTCAAATGAAATTAAAAATGTTTACACAATTGTCATATAAAAAATTTTATTAAAAAAAATAAATTAATACTAATTAATACATAGAATCATGTACTTTTATTTAACTAGAAACTTTGATATATATATGTATATATATATATATATATATATTTATGTGGTAATATGGCTTAATAAAAATAATAAAATATACATTGAATATAAACCAGCGATCTCTTATGTTATTCCTGAGATGCTTTATTATTATTTGTGATTGATTAATTGTGATAGAAACCTTGTTGTGGGCGTTTTTAATGAATTTATAAGGGGGTACTGGTTCGAAACGTGTTAGTAAATGGATATTTTGCATACCATAATAAGAAAACTTTGATGATTTTTGATTTATTCATATATATGCGTACTTTAGTACACATGTTCATAATCCAGGCGTTAAGCACAATAAAATGTATTGATTTAATAAAGCTTGAAACTTGTATGACTACTTGATCATATTACTAAAGTTGTATATTTTTTTATTGTTTTTTATTATTACAATAATCAAATAAATAAAACATAATAAATATGACTTTGAACATTTAAATAAAATAATTAATTGTGTGTATATATATATATATATAAATATATAATATAATAATATTATCAATATTCAATTTAAATATGTTATTGATGTTCAAGTGAAATTTATTTATCTTTAAATAAGCTTAAAATAATGAAAAAAGATAATATTTTAGGTAGGTTCGTGGGATCCGTTTCCTGTAGTATTTCTGAGGTGTATTTTGTTTCGGAAGGATCGGCCCAAAAATGAGCAAAATCCCTTGGAAGGTATTTTGCGCTCTTTTAGTGATAGCGTACTACTTAAGGGACTTAAAACTAAAATTACCAACACACACTCGGTGACTTTACGACCAATAGCCACCGAGTAATAAGCTATCAAAATTTGGGATAATTGACTTGGGGTAACTGGGTACCACTAATCAGTTCCTACAGGTCCGATTACACGGTTAATGAGTGCATTCCTTTTTAACACGCTTATAGTAGTTTTACATGTATGTTTTTCGCGTAAGACGTTCCCCGCGCCCCCGCCAGCCCACAAAACACGGCTATACCTCGTGCATGATACGTTTACGTATTTAAGTCGCTTTTCATGTATATATAATGGATATTACATGTATGTATATTCTAATTACTATTAAAAATATATATTAACACGCTTTATTTTCCTTAAAAGATATAGAGTGTATTAATTCCGATTACAAAGAATGATTACCGTATTGTCATTTTTTGTCACTACCTCCACGTTCCGGGAGTGGATAATTTTCGCGCCTGCTCCTTTTCTTGGATGTGGTAGCCGTTTCTCAGACTCCTTCTCCGGAATCAAACCCTGTTTTCCCTTTACCCGTTACAACAATGATATTAATATTAACTACTATCATAACATGAAACTAAAAAGTGAAAAATAAATATAGTTAAAAAAAACACGCTTTTATAGCACATTGAACTAAAAAGTTAAAAATAATTTTTAAAATAAGCTTAAAACAATAATGCACGATAAATACTAGTATTATTGTGATAAAAGCGTGGGCGTTTTGTTTCATATATTTCGTATATTGAGCGCCCGACGCTTTTTTTCTCAATAAAACTAATATTTTTCGTTCATTATTGTTTTAAGCTTAACTTTTTTGTTCGATGTGCTTTAAAAAATGTGTTTTTTAGTTTTTTTAAACTATACTTATGTTCTTGATATGTGTACTGACACGGTTCCGCGTTGCTTGGTGGTACACGGAGCCCCTCGGCCCGCGCCTACTTTATCAGCCGTTACCATACTACGTGTATAATTATATATAAGTTTCCGCACAATGCCGGACCGTCGATCCTCCCACACAAGCGGACCAACCGGTTAACTTAGCGCTAGAGGATTCTGAAGCTGAGTGCTCACACGATTGTAAGCCGCGATACAAACGACAAGACCACCGCACAGATGACGCGAGAACCAGTAGAAACAAATCGTATTGTTTACCCTCGTCTGTCCGAACAGAGATGCGAACATTCGGGACGAGCAACACCCCCCAAAAAATGACAAAAAAAAACACGCCTGACTGAAATCGAAAAACGCGAACCACGTGACTTACAACAGCTAGCCAGTTAGTCCACGCGTGCGTCGCCTNAAACGCGAACCACGTGACTTACAACAGCTAGCCAGTTAGTCCACGCGCGCGTCGCCTACACTACCTAGAGCTAACTTGTGTCAGTACCCAATGTAGTATAATTGAGGGGTTAAGCGCAACAGTGGCTTAACCCTCAAAATGTTAAAAATTGGGTTAATGAGATCATTTTGTTAGGAATAAAAAATATTTTAATGTAACAAAGGCCTATTTTTGTTTTTTATAATTCTACACTAGATAGCAACACTATTTATGTTGTTGCATTAATAAACTGTATATATTTGTAAGAATTTAATAAAATGTATTACACACATTAACTGTATAATGGCATAGGCCACTATTGCGCTCAACGCCTCGATTATGAACTAGTGTACTAAAGACCGCATATATATAAATGAATAAAAAATCATCAATGTTTTTCTATTAGGGTATGCAATATAACCATTTACTAACACGTTTCGAACCAGTCCCCCCTAAATATAATAGTGTGTAAATAGTAATTATAAAAAAACTGAGGGATATTTTATAGTAAATATCAAGATCATGAAATAAATTTA